CACCCTGCATTCCAGCAGCTCTCCCTCTGGCGAATGACTAACAAATCAGAAAATGCTTGATTGCTGTGCACTAATAACCTGCAAATGCATCTTTCTGGCAAGAAAAACAGGAGCATTTTGATCATATCAACACAGACAGATCATCTTGTGGTTTTCTAATTATCTGGTGAGTAATACTAAAATCATCACACTTCATATACGTTCCTAAAGGGCTCTTGATGGGCTTCTGTAGTTCGGCATGCTACTGTAATACTCTTTTTACTTGTTGAAAAGTTCTTTGCTGTCAGAAAAACTGTGCAAAGATAGCAATTCTGAAAGAGACATTTAAAGAACTCTGAAAACTGTGTTAAGAGCTGTGAAAAAGAAGCAGTGATAAAGTATCACTTTATAGGTTCAAAGCATTTCTTTTTCGCTTTTAATATGGCCTGTACTCATGAGGAATTACGAATAAGCTGCTTTTTTTGCACAAAAATTTTGTCCATATAAAGGTGTCAAATGACAAAATTGTTCTTTGTAGTGATGCCACAGAATCACCACTTTTGGTACCCTGATGAAGTTTTTAATGGACCCTACTTTAAAGCCAGTGTGAATTAGCAAAATCACAACAATCCATACCGTGAAGTGCAGTATTGAGGATGATAAGTGGAGGTGGCAGTGAGGGGGAGGTAGAACATGATATTATTGTTTAATATTATTTTTCCCCACCCACTGGTGACATGATCAAAACTCATAAGATATTTTTAAGGTGGGCAAAAGTACATATTGATTAAAATTACAAAAAAAACAAGAAATTTGTCTTTGAAATGGTTTGATGTTTAAAGAACCAAAGATTCTACAGCAACTGAAGTTCAACATTCAAGCCAAGAACCATTTAGGAACCTTTGTCTTTAATAGTACCAGTTAACTCCACTCCTTGACAAGGTTCTTTCAGAACTGATACATGTGGAGGAGGCCACACAAAATGATGTCATTTAGGATTGAATTTGAAAATTATGTATTGTTTATTTATAGAAATTGATTTTGTATTATAATTTCAAACACTAAAACTTTCCGTTCTACACCTACTTTCAGCACCTGCAAAGATCTCTCCCACTCCTTCCACCCCTCGCTCCATCTCTTTCCTTCCCTCATGACTGACTAATGAGTCCTGGCGTTGCTGTGGACGCAGTGGTGTTATTAGGTTGATCTGTGCTCTCTTAAGGTTACTTGGGGGAGTCTGAAGTGCCTGAGCGGCATGCCCTCGGCTCTCTTAGCTAGTGGGGCTAAAGAGGTTTGTTTATTGGGCACACCTTGGCCTGACCTCAAAGAGCTACTGGGACTAAATATGTGATTAGCTGTGTGTTAGCCCAGAGCGCTGGAGCTCAGGCAGTCCGGAAAGCAGCTCTCTTGGCCCGCCGAGGGCTGACTGATTGGGGGTCCTCGCCATAATCAATCACCCACTCTATTGCCAAGCCAGCACATACACCTCTGCTGGGAGAAAGATGGGCCCCCCTAACCTGTTGCTATCTTTGTCGCTGCTCTTGAAACGCTGGGCGATTTTATTTAGAGCTGCCCTTTGGCTCGTGAAGGGGAGATTAATTGGCACTGCCTCTTTCTCCTGTCCCCGACGGGTTTTCGTTAGGCCTCCTGGCAAGAGATCCGAAGACAGAAGACAGGCCTAGCTAAAATACATGTAGCCAAGCGGTGGAGGATTTGTGTATGCTGTCGTCTAGCCTTTGTTGCCCTGGGTTTAATTCCTCAAACATTATTTTCCCACTTCAGGCCAACATCCTGCCACTGTTTCCCATGCGGATGCCTCTCATTACTGCAATGTGAAGTCACAGCTTCCACCTTTAGCCCAGGGTTGGCGCTCTCACTCTCTTTCTCTCTCTCTTTTCCTCACTCGCTCCATCACTGAGATCTCGCTGATGAACTTGGCACCTCTCCTCCGGCAGCCATGACCTTTGCAGCCGGGGTCAATGGGCCCAATTCTTATCAGGACATACAGGAACTATACAAATACCACACTGTCCTAAAACCAGTCTTCTTTTTTTTTTGGAAATCATGAAGAGAGTTGTGCTGCACATTTACACTCTTTAAATAGAAGAAACTCTTCAGAGGTAAAGGCAATGGATATATATAGGAACACGACAATCTAAAGAGCTTAAATGGTTCTTTGCATTTCAGAAAATGGATCTTTTATGTGTGTCTTTCTAATTATGCCACAGTTTCCTCCACAAGGTTTTGATGAACAGTTAATATATTGTAAATTACATAAGTTATCATTATTATATTAATTTATTATTAAATAATCTACAAAAAAATAATAAAGTAGCATAATAAATATTAAAAGAAGCCTAAAGGTTCTAGGGGGAACCTTCTCTATAGTTCTTTTAAAAAAGCAGCAAAATGGGTTCCATAGAAGTCACAGAAATGTTTTAGGTACTATACAGAATCCTTTTTGCTAAGAGTGTATACAGTAATGTGCAAAAGTCTTGGGTACTTTAGGCAAATTGTTTAAAACCATTCATTTCAGCATTAAGCATGTTTTTTTTTCTGTAAAAAGAGACATTGTATTACATTGTAAATACAAATAAACATAAACACAAATGTCTCAGAAAAGCAGTTTGATATCTTATGTAATGGTTAAAAGAACACAGGTTTGGTTCCACATTTCTCCTCGGTGCCCCATCCATCATACGGATTGTAAAATTCTATCCTGGGGGCTGGCTCTTTTACTGCTCTGTTGTGGCTACATAGCAGAATAAAATTTTTATGATTCTGCTATTTTTAAATTGTAATAATCCTCTATCGCAGTAATATAAAGCTCTGTTGATCGTTCTAACACAGTTTTAACAATAAACAGTCTTAAGCGCTGGAGTTGCATTATGTATGACTGCTAATTCACCCTTTAACCCTGAAGATCGGCGCACAGACTGCTAGTTACCATAGCAACGCAGACAACGTCGCTTAGTTAGTGGCTAACAAAAAGACAAAGAGAAAGATTAAAGACAAACATCAATCATTTGAAGACAAAAGTACTTATTTGTATTTATAAACACTCAGCTGGTACATTTAATCTGCAACATCTGTCAAATCTGTCAAACACTAAAAAGTCACGAAGCTGAAGTCGCTTCTCTTTCGCCAGCTTCTTGTTCTAATTCTCACGTTGCACCTTAAATGGTGCAGCAGTTACACTCTGGCACCTCAGGCACAATTTAAAGTCGAACAGGAGAATTCGAACAAGAAGCCGGCGAATGAGAATCTGACTTCAGCCTCGTAAAAAGTCAAACATTGAGGGTTTCCAAGAAATTATTCCACTTTTGAGGAAAAGCGGCTATAGCTGAGCTAAAGCTTAAAGCAGAGCAAAGTAAGTCTGCATTTTCGTTCATATTATATTTTTTAGCCTAAACTAGCACATTAGCACATATTGAGACATATTTACAGCCAAGATGGTAAGGTGGACATAAAATGTTGTGGCTCCCTGGGTGGTTTGATTATTACTGAAAGGACAAAATGGCTCTTCTTAACATTTTGGTTGTCGACCCCTGGATTAGCCAAACCAGTTCTGGAATGCTAAATAATACTGGGCTGAGCAGAGTTTTGGAAAGTGCTAAATGAACACATTTACTTACATAAAATCAGTACTTTTTGTATTAATGTTATTTGTAGTTATCCTCACATTAGCTTTTTCCTGAGCACACTTACTGCACAAATAGCTTTTTAAATATAATTTGCTGGGGTGCCTAAAACTTTTGCACAGTACTGTATGTCAAAATGAGGACATAAGGCCCTTCTCTGTAATGGTTTTCTGGTCTTCTGTCCATGAAATGAAACCAAGACATCCAGTTCTGAATTATTTGGGTCTTTCCTTTATAGTCAAAATTACAGTGCTTCAGCAACATTTGGTAATTACGCTTGTTTGTCCTTTCTGCAAACTGAACCTTGCAGAGTCGTATACTGAGATGCTGTATCTGTGGATGTTAATTGGCTGGATTAATGTTAACTAATATGCCTTTAGCTTTATGGTGATATCTTTGTATCGCCAAGTTGGGCTGTGAGAACCTTCTGTGCAGGTTTTTATGTTTTTTCCAGCTATCATAAAAATTCCTAAACAGTATCTGGCTTGTACGTTTGGTCCTAGGAACAACCTTTGACCCTATCAAACCAATCATCTCACCAGTAATCCACTCTGAGAATTTGGTGTGGGCCCCTTAAACTCGTTTAAAACTACCTCCAGAGGAGTTGCAGCATGTACAAGCTCACACAGCACACGGTAAAATGTGTTAGTGTACAGAAGCAGTGCTCTCTGTGTGCGACCATGTTTTCTATTACAGCAAAAGAAGATAAAGGCTTCCCGTATTGTTGGACGTTCTGTAATTATTTTGGAGCAAGCTCATTCAGAGTGTAGTATTTTTAATCAAAGTATAAATATAAAATGCCACTGAAGTGTATTTCTATTCATGTGTTCACAATGGTAGTTTGTGAGGCAAACTAAATAAAAATCTACATATTTTCGGCTTTTTGAGATCACGTTCCTTACATATCAAGTGAATGCAATGACAGCACTGGGAAATCATGTGATTAATGTAGAAGAGCAGATTAAAAGGTAGAAATAGCCACATTTTTTGTGTTAACTGGGCTAATTGATGTAGAACTTTTACATTATGTAGCGTTTCTCTAAACTTTTAAAATATTCTTTGTTTACAAAAAGGTTCCTTGAAGAATCATCCACGGTTCTTCTGTGGTGTTGTTTTGGCAGTGCAGTTGGGTTGGAGAGGGAGCTGACTGGACAGGTGTGCCATGTAGGAGGACCCCAGGGCCAACAGAGGTTAAGTGGAGGTTAAATGAGCTTGTGGAAGTGAAAAGACATTTCAAGTACACAAGTGCTGGGTCAGTTTTCTGGGATTGAACCAGCACTCTTTGAGTTGCAGCTCACCAACAAGCTTGGTGCCTTGATGCTAATTAGCAGTGTTGCTGTTATTAAGCAGTATGAGGATGTGCGTGTATGTGTGACTCACCAATGTGGCTACGGTGTGAGGAGGCCAGGCTCAGCTGCCCCCACAAAGACAGCAGACAGACGCCAAGCAGTAGCACTCTCCTACCCACGCTCCGCAGCTCCCTCTCCCGCATCCTACACACACACACGAAAACATACAAAGTTAGATCCGTTACAGAAAAAAAAACACACACACACACACACACACAGATGGTCAGGTCATGGTGGCACCCCAGAACACAGGTCAAATACACATACATGCACAGAGCCAGTGCTAACAAAAGCAGCGAGGAGCTCCGCAAGCGGAGAAACGCAGGATCATTTGGCCTCGCTGCTGTCAGGGATTCCATCAATCATTTACTGTACGTTCTCAAATATCAGCCTCTGAGTCAGCCATTCTTCAAACGCGTTAGCCGGTGACACGATCCCTCCCTGTTTTGGTGGTCTGCTCTTGGCTGGCAAACACAGTAATCTTGATATACTATCAAAGGCTGTTGGCCAGTAATTCCCCCTCTATCTTTGTGAGGGGTCCAGAGAGACTCGAACACACAAAAGCAATCAGAGACTCATCTCACTGCCGGGCCAAGCTTGTGTTCCACTCGTAAGGGGGGGGGCAATCTCAAAATCACAGCCATCCTTTCAAAGCCTTTGCCAGCATATCTTATCAAATTAGCACAAAGATTGGTTTCATGCGTCGAGCTCAGTGCCTCCTTGTTTGGCGGAGACTTGTGAGGATTTTCTGCATATGTTTAGCAGTAAGACCAGCTCTGCAGCTCCCACTGGCTCTGTCGCCAAGCTGAAGAAGAAAAAAAACACGCAGTGTCTAAATAATTCAAGCAATAAAAGGTTGTGATTAAGCGCTCCTTGATCCACTGAATCAGATCTGCTGTTCTTTTAATAAGAGCATGGCCTCATGATAGCTGTTTGTGTGCAAGACAGGACAATAAAGAGTGCTCAGTGCATAAAGAGCTTTTTCTGCTACGAGGCATTTTTCAAGGAAGAGACTGCTATTTTTTCTAATCTTTAAAGCATCCTAATCCTGTCTCAAGAGATTCAAAATGCAAACATTAGCATCTTAAGCTGGAATGAATGAGAGCAATTTAGAGTGAACTTAGTGATGCCTTTTCACCCCACTTCACATGTATGGTCGGTCCCGCTTAAAAGTGCACACTGTTTTAATATAATGCAATAATAAAATGCATGTATAATATTGTAATGTAAAAATAATTCTAATTCAGATACAGTGCTGTGAAAAAGTCTGAGACCACCTTTCATTTATTTCATTTCCAGTTTAAATGGCAATGAAAGTACATATATTTATATATCAAACATATATTCACCAAAAAGTTACACAACTGCAAATAATATCACATCTTTCAGTATTTAGTGTGTCCATATTTTGTCTTTATTACAGTTTTCATTCTTATTGGGAGACTTGCTTTCAGTTTTTTAACAAATTTTTTTACAATATAACAAACTTTTTACCGAATAGGGATATTTTTTACACCTCTAAATTTCAGTCTTTGACGTTGGCTGCACTTTCTGAAAGTAATCCCACTTTAAATGGCATTGAGGTCTGGACTCTGGGGTGGTCAGTCCATCGGTCTGAGAACACCAGCAGCTTCTTTATTTACTTTGGACATTTTCTTCTTTTTGGTCTGTTTTTAGTGGTGTCTTCTCACAGCAAGAGCGGAGCTTGATTTTCACTCTACCTCAAAGATTTAAGTACTGGTTATCTGATGGGGATGGTTTTGGTGGTCTACCAGGTCTTGCACAGTTGTTATGAGCCCAATTTTCTCTGTATCTTTTAATAGTTTTTTAATCTCCAGTTTTGGAAACTGTTTTTACTTATTTTCCTTTGACTTCCTTCCTTATACTCAGAAATATCTCTTGAAAAATGACTAACGTGTACTTAACAGCCATTCTGAAATGAAGGGTGGTCTCTGACTTTTTCTAAAGAAAAACATCTCCATTTTTGTTGTTTTTTATTTTTCTACATTATTTGAACATAAAAATATTCTTTGAAGCTGATGTTTCTACTATCATATTTGTACAAGGATTTTTGATACATAATAATCTGTAGGAAACCTAAGAGAAATAAGAAGTTGAAAAAATTAAGAATGATCTTAGAATAAATGTAATATCCAGAATGCCTCAGGGCAGTAATCAAACCTTAAGTCAGATACTTTCATAAAAAATGAATCATTAAGCAGATAATCTTAGTATAAAAAAGTACATTATTTTTCATTTAATATCATTTCATCATAACATCCTTAAACGGCTTCTTGATTTCAGAATACTTGAAATAATAAATAAAATGTCTAAAAATATATTTTCATGTCAAGTTTATATTATTTTAATCTAGTTATTATTCAAGAAAATTATTTATTTATTTATTTATTTATTTATTTATTTATTTATTTTGAGTGGTAAGGTATTGCACATAGTTGAAATGGCAGATCTATTTCATGCCGCCATTTGCTTCTATAATGTCAAAAATATTAAAACTAGGGCATTATGTCACTCATGTGAGCAAACCACAATCTCAGAAGACGGAAAAACAAGTGAGAGGTAAATGGGCTTCTGTGTGATCTTGGCTTTATAAATGAAGAGCTACTATTTTCAATCCATTTAGCATTTAGTGTTTTGTTTCCTGACTCATTATCACAATGAATCAGGATGTTACAGTGACTTCAATTTGACAGGCAGTTGAATGCTATCCTCTGAAATCCAATTAAGGATGCAAGTGTTAGTAAAATGCCACACTTAGAGAGAATTACACATCATTTTGTTTTAAGGTAGAAGTAAGATGTTTTACAAATTCTCTAACCATGTCCGTCATCAAATTACCTTCAAAATAGTTCCTGCTTAAAGCCGTTTAATCTATGACCGAGCAACAAACTTGCTGGACTCTTTAAAATCCTTTTAGCAATGTCTTATATAACAGCTGAATGCGGTTTTGCCAGCACTGAACACATTCAATACTTACAGGACCTGTATTCCTTTTTTATATTCAAATATTCTAATAAATAGTGGCTGCAATTCTCTACATACATCACTAATGATCTATAAATTACCATTCAGTACAAAAGAAACATTTAATAACTGTAAGAGAATGAATCAGTTCTATTCTCTTACAATTACTGCATGTCCGCTTTCAACAAGTTGAAATAATAAAGGCTGATTAAATGAATCAAATTCATTTTAAAAAGAGTTTTGAATTAAAGGCCCTGGATGATGTCAAGACAATTAATTATAATGACACTATGAGCAACTATGAGAAATTATGCACATAGATGATCAACACCTATATTCAATATTTCAGCTATATTTAATATACAATGTTTCTGTATCTTCCACAAACAAAAGCCACAGTGACTTTAATTTATAAGCAGTATGAAATAAGTTTTGACATATGTCCATACATATTACCATGTGCACACATACAGACATACTGGTTCTACAGATGTTATTCATTATTATTATTATTATTATTATTATTATTATTATTATTGTTGTTGTTTGTCCCAGAATGTGCTTTTTGTACCTTGGACAGTACACAGTAAAGTAAAGATTTACTGGGCAAAGATTCAATTTGTTCTTTGAAGCAACTGGGTATGGCTGAGTAAGCCTGATGGTCTATGCCTGTATATCTGTTTAAAAACAAATCATTGTAATATTTGCAGACAGGTAAAGCAGTTCTGGCCTCAGAAGATACACAGTGTAACCATGGCAATCTCTCTCCCAAACTCACTTACTTTACATAGAGTATATAAAGATTCTAATGATTGAGAAAGACATATCATAAAAAGATATCATAAACACAGTCACCAAGTTATACTTTGTATACAAAGCCATAGGAAGCTCCATTATAAAGTTAAAAGCTTTGTATTTTTGCCAGCAAAAGATTGTAATGTGGCCAACTAAGTAGTCTTAATTAAGGGCGTGCACGGGTACTCAAGTATTTGGTTAACCATTCAAAGTTTCAGTATGTGAATACTGCAATCACCATTCCTGTTAGCTATGTCTAAAAACAATGAAAACATATTTCTCTGCTAAGCTAACAAGGCGCATTGTCCACTGGGGAGAAAATACTTCGTATAGAAGAAGGCAAGTCCTCAATAGCGTATAGTATTGTACCAGTTTGCCCTAATGTCGGCTCATTAGCTCATCTGAAGAGGCAGCCCCAGTTACACACATGACAATGTAAACATGATTTCCCTTTCAAATTGTTGGAATAATAAAACGTTTTCAAATGTATTCCTCTGCTACTGACATGTGAGCCTCCTAACACCAGTGCCTGTGAGCGTACAGCCCTACATCACCCTGCACAGGGCCCTACATCGTCCACAGTCCATTTAGTTATTTATTTTACTTGTTTACTTTCCCTACATTTCTATATAATATACATGCATAAACACGTGCGATACTCAAACATCAACATTAGTTTCAATTTAGTTATCTTATTGTCTTCTATTGAGAATAGAATAGGTAATCCTCATGTACTAATGAATATTTAAATGTTGAGAAGTGTGTTTTAAATTCAGAATACTAACAAACCTCCTGCTTCTTCCAGGTCTCAGCATTCTCAGTCTTCTCATGGGCTCCAAATTCTTATGTATTTCTCTCATTCTCGGCCAAATTTTGAAATGTTCAGATTTTTAAATGAGCAGTTAATAAGCTAGATTAGAGCTCTGTTCAGCCAATTAAAGTGAGGGCTTGTTATTATTCGTGCAGACGCTAACAACAATACCATTTGACAGTCCTTGAGCCTGACCATATATCATTAGCCAAGTTATCATTTTAGTGCCACCAGCATGCACAAAACAAATGCCGTAATGCCGTAAACAATTTCTTGTGGAAGAACGCCTAGACCACCTGCTTGAGTTTGAAAAAAGGTCTCAATAATCACAAGTATGCATTAACCACACAAAGAAAGAGGAACGGCGAAAGCTTTTAAGACAGATGACGTTAGCAGAGCTCTGGGAAACACATGAGCTCTAACATAGCCAATGCGGCCCAGGCAGCACTCACAAGACTAGCACCTATTGATTAAACACAGATGTGAGTAAACTGTGGCCGGAGTGGTCAGAGCATTCTTTTTCCAGCAGAGGAACACCATGCAGCTTCATGAG